TTCCTCTCTTCCACAATAATCATCATACTTATAATTATATTAGAATCCTGGCCGATTGTTTCAGGAAACACGTCAGAGCAGAGTGGATCAAAGATCCCTCCAGGCTGACAGCTCCCTATTACACCTCTCCCTGACATGATTTCACTGACTAGTCTGTCTGCCTCTTTTCATAAGGGTTCAAATGACTCCCACACTAGCCAGGCTATAGCAGTTGAAAATCTCCTCCAGGCTGGTCGTCTTATTCATCTGCATCTACCTATTTATGCTCATCCTCCCATTCCCTCTCACACGTGGAGAGTATTATTGTTTAGCATGGAATTGATCTCTCATCCTTGAATAACAACAACAACAACAACAATTATAATAATAATAGGGCTCTCAGGCCCTGGGTTCAAATCCTGGGGATCTATCTGTATGGAGCTTGTATGTTCTCCCTGTGTTCAACTGTGTTTCCTTCAAGTGCTCCGGTTTCTTCCTATAAACGAAAGGCATAGTAGTAAGTTATTTGGCTTCTGGGAAAACTGGCCACGGTGTGAGTGTGTGTGGCCTTGGTTGAACTGTCCAGGGTGTACAGTATACTGCCTGTTGCTTCCAGCTCTCCTGCAACCCTGTACTGGATAAAGCAATTAGAAAATGGTAGATAGATGTGAGGACTCCCAGTTTACTTTGAGCAGGTAGTGTGGAAGGACAGGCTGGGGGGGGGGGCAGATGATCTCAGACTCACAGGTTTCTGGCCCTTTGTTTACAGATGACCTAGTCACTGCAGAGAGACAGCCGAAGACCATAGAGAAGTAGGGAATCTGCTCAATACTACTAGTGCTACTACTGCTGATAATGAGCTACAGACTGTAGGCCTAGCTTTCGTTAGGTTAATATTTCACACCTAAATATATTAAATCTATCCCCTCGTGTTGCATACACACGGCGCTGTCTTGGTGATAACCCTGGACTTGTTTGTCCTTCAAAAGTGATGGTATATTTAGTGTTGGATTGGTAACACAAACTTAGCAAGTTTTTGTTTTGCTCTGATATTAAGGTAGAGGTAGCCGTAGAGGGAGAGGTTTCTTAGAGGTCTGGGAATTAATCTTCATAATTCAAGTATACAACATCTTCTGTTTTTATAAGGAAAGGGGCCATTTCCTAGATATCTTTAAATGTGGTTGATAAACTCGGAGCGTAGAGAAGCTAACAGCTTGCCCAGAGGCTGTTCGGACATCAGTGGAAATTCAGTAACCTCAAGTTTCAGTAAAAGTTTCAATCTCCTTCTTGCCCCACAGAATGTTAGTTTCAACCCTTGGTTCCCATTCATTTGATGCACTGACAAGATTAATAATATTTGCTAGATAAGTGTTTTCTTAATTCAACACCCCCTCAGTTACTAGATTAGACAAAGCAGTTACACATTTCAAAGTCTGAATTTCTCTTTATGTTCAGCAATATGAACATGTCTCCATGTGCAAACCACTCACCCTCTGTATGCAATTCGACAGCTTGGTGAGGTTCATCTTCATATTATTCAGCAACAAAGATCTGTTAGTGGTTTCCTATCACATTAAAATTGTTGTAAGTTTGGCATTGAGATTTTCTGAGCTTTTATCAATTGTCAGGGCTTGTTGAAAAAAATCAGGCATTTTTTTCTTTCAAGTGACTAATTAAAGCTTTCATTCATACACATTATAGAAGCTACATCATCAGAAGGACATGTAATAGTTTATCACAGGACCGGCTTTGCAAAGGAAAAGTTTACTTCTTCTCCTCTCGGTGAAATGCAAAGATTTATTGATTTTAAGATTTTCTGCTTCAAGTTTGTTTAATCAATGCAACATGAAAATTAACACCATCTCATTCACATGGATAGCAAAACGGCCCTTTATGTTTTCAGGTTTTCCACTCTTCTGGTATTGTGTTTGCTCTGTCCTCCAGTGTATTACTCAATAGAGGACTAGCCCTTGACTTGGCTGCAATGTTGAGTCCATTGTCTCAATCACTCACAGGTTGTTTTGATCTGCTCTTCACCAAAAGCTGTTTTTCCTTTGGCCATTACACATGAAAGCTAAAAAAAAGCTTTCCTGCCTTTATGTGCATCACTCACTGCCTTTGCAAAAGTATCCTGCATACTAATTGGCTTACTTATGATTACAATGTCTTTCTTTCCCCAAAAGTACTCATGGACTTTATTTGTGGATTCAGGGTGTTTTACGTCCTGGAGTCTTTTTCATTTGCTTGGCTTCATGAAGTTGTTTGCAAGCATTTCACCACAGATGATACCTTCAGGCTTCATTTTGTCAGTAAGCCCTTCCATGAATCCAAATGCTCGACTGCTGTCCAGGTATAAATACATCTTCCTTCCTTCTTGTGCAGACAAAGTTCATTTTTAGAACGCTTTGAAACCAGTTTTTGAAGTGTAAATACCTGCCCCAATATTTCAGATACTGCACTGCTGATGGACGTTAACTCACAGTTCTTTACTGGAATTGAAAGTCTTACTGAGCCACCAGTTACCATAACAACCTGAGATAAATTATACGTATCTTATCCAAACACTGCCTGTTACTATAGTCACATGTACTAACCTTTGAAAGGATTAAACCTCCTGTAATGCCTCTCACTTCCTCTCTCCACCATTCATGCATTAAACAAGT